TAAGAGATTTGGATGGGATGGAGTAGAGATAAGGATGGGGATGGAATAGAGATGGAGTGGAGATGGGATGGAGTGGAATAGGGATGGAGCAGGGATTGGGGGGAGTAGAGATGGAGTGGAATAGGGATGGAGCAGGGATTTGGAGGGGATGGAGATAGAGTAGAGGTGGGGTAGAGATGGGGATGAGGTGGGATGGGGATGGAGAAGCGATTTGGATGGGATGGAGTAGAGACGGGGATGGGGTAGAGATAAGGATTGGGATGGGGTAGGGATGGGACGCAGATGGAGATGAGGCAGAGATAAGGACGGGATGGGCGTGGAATAGAGATGGAACGGGAGAGGATTCCGGTACGAAGTGCTGGCAGCCCAACCAACAACGCGCTCCACGTGCTTTTATTCCCCCCTGGACCCGCTCAGCCCCTTTCTGGCTGTGCCAACCCCTCCCTCCACGGGTTCATCCCTTCCCTCGCAATTATCCTGCCTTCCCCACGGCTTTCTTTACAGCCCCGCGTTCAGCCGGTCCCCCGTCCCTTCCCAACGCGGGTTGCGGTTCCCGAGAAGCGCTCGGAGCTCCGCAAACCCGGCGCTGCGGATGGCACCGAAGACATGCATAGGGAGCACTGAGCGCTCGCGCGCATGCGCCCTATTCGCGCACGCCAACCGGAAGGCGGAGCCGCGAGCTGCTCGCTGATTGGTTCCCCCTCACGTGACGGCTCGGCGAAGAGGAAGAGGTGGAGGGCGGTGTTCTCTTCCTATTGGCTCGCCCCCGCCACGTGACGAAGGAGGAGACCGGAAGAGGAAGTGGCGGTGAGAGGGGTGTGGTCGTAGCTCCTCCTTCACGTGACAGGGGCGGTGCGGCCCCTGCCGGACCCCGTAGCGGCGGCGGCGGCGCGTCATGGGCTGCTGCTACAGCTCCGAGGCTGAGGCCTCCGACCAGGTGGGGTCTGTGAGGCCCTATGGGAGGGGCTGTGTGGGTCGTGGGGGGGGCTTGTATGGGTCTGTTGAGGCCCTATGTGGGGCTATGGGGGGCACCTGTGTGGGATTATGGGGTCTGTGTAGGGTTGTGGGGGGACTGTGTGGGACTGTGGGGGCTTACATGGGGGCGTAGGGGGACTTGTGTGGGACTGTGGGGGCATACGGGTGGGGCTGTGTGGGACTGTGGGGTCTGTAAGGGCCTATGTGGC